TATAATATCTATTTTGTAGTAAAATGGATATATTGAATTAGATGATAGAACTATTTTTGGAGCCGCCTAATCTATGTTGTATGAAAAAACTTACTACTAACTCTTTGAATAAAGGCTATCAATACTACAATCTATATTTTAAATTTTACTATTAATTCTCAAATTGATATATTAACTATATTTTTAAAATGGTTTAAAATCAAACCTTTTGTATTACATTATAAAGATTTTGGCTCTCTTACATATATAAATGTTAACAAATAGAAGTACAATAAGCTCAGAGCTAAATACACTTTGGTAGTTTTTCTTGGATATTCATCATCAAACTAAGCATATTGATTTTGAATTTGATGCATAATATAATTATTAAAAGCTCCAATATAAGGTTTAATGAAAAAATTTGATGATATATTCTTTATAACTTTCTTGTATTTGATCCTTTATCACTTTTAATGGTTGAATTTAATCCACCTTCTTCTTCTATAAGATTGTAAGAACATGCTTCTATATTGGAACAAACTTCTTTTTTTATACAATTATTGCATCATCAGCTTTTTCAATCTTTGAAAAAAACTCTTATTTTAAATAATTCTAAATCAATAAGAGATTATAAGTATTGAGAGATTTTTTATCAAATACTATTTTTATTTCCTTTGATGACTCAATACAAGTTTTTTTAATTTTTTCTTGCCATCAATGTTATTATTCAATACCCAAAAAAATTAATTTTATACTATGAGTAATAACCACCTCTACAACAAATATTTCTATTTATTCTAAATCCATTTTTTGTCTTACTACCATGAAATTTTTTTTTTTTGAATCCCAATTTTATGCTAAAGCCCTTACTTTGACCTAATTTGTTCAATGGCTTAAAACTATGCAAACCAAGTATAACTTCTTGATAGAAAATCACACTTAAAATTTAGAATTCCTTCTATTTAAGCATAAGGCTATATACTATAAGTGGATATACAAACTTAAATATAATATCGATAGAGCATTATAAAAAAATATAAATTTAGATTAATTCTTAAAGAATTTACATAAAAACTTTTAATAAATTAAATATAAACTTTTAGCCTAGTGTCAGCTCTCAATTATATTCTAAAATTTAAATTTTTGTTATTTTCCTATTTTATGATAATTAAACATGTTAGATTAGGATTTATAAAAGTAGAATTCAGTTTTATAGAATTTTTAGGATTACAACCCCTCATAGTATAAATCATAACCTAATTCCTTGAATTAGGTTAATTAGAACTAAAGTGACAAGAGTTAGAAAATTAGAATAGCAACTTAGTTAGTTTAATAATTTAGAGGTTGATAGTCATTACTATAAGGGTTGACTAAAAGCCAATGAGTACGTCTATAATAATTCATATGATTTGGGGGTTGGAAGTATAATTCTCTAAAAGATTTAGGAAAGTTAGCAATGGTAATATTGGATTTTTTCTCCAAATTCGGCAAATTTAAGCGGCATGGTGGTTCTTCTACTTAATGGGAGTCTCTTTAATGCAATGGTGGCACTGGATTTACCTTGTGGAGTGAAGAAAACAAGATCAACAACCTCTCTTTCAAAATACAAGAGAAGCAATGAAATTCTCATTTTGAAGAATTTCACAAAAAAATTGCCAAGATCCTTGTAAGTAAAAACTTCCATGGAAATTATAATTGAGCATGGATTGGGACATGTGAGTAGTCGATCTTAGCTTAAAAAGGTGTTTTGAACACAATAGTGAAGTTAGATTTACAAAAAAATTCCTTCTTGACCACTTACAACGGCCATCAGCCTTGATAACAAGATTCGCTCTTGGATGAATGAAGGCTGTAGATCTAGATTAGGGATCTGAAAAATCAAGGGTGGAGATGTAGTCACCCTTCTATGAGCCTCCACTCAATTGTATAAGAGAGGCTTGGTTTTCCAAGCCCTCTCTCTCTCTTCTTTTGGTGAAGGACGAAGCCATGCTAAAATTTGGCAAAAAATCCTAATTTTAATTTTATTTAGGTTTCAAATCTCATTGTGAATTTTGTGGGTGGGTGTGCATGGATTTTGAATTGTGAATGATAGTCATTGGGTCTTAAAACACGTTTCATTGTGGTGAATAGCTCCCTTGGCCTCTCAATTACTCCAAGGGTTTCAAGAGCCTCAGATTTCCCTCCATCAGTCATTCAATTGTTTTATTTCCAATGTGATTTTTTTTGTGGTTGTATCTTTTGTTGTTAGCTTTCCAAAAAGATAAGGCTCGCTCCATTTGGAGTTGAACTGAATTTTTGGTGAAATTTTGAGTTTAAGGGGGTCGACTGCCTTTGCAGTTTGGATTAATCCAGTTTGGGAAGGCATTTCTCAGTGCTTGATAATTGGATTCGTTTGAAATTTTGGGAGCATCAATATTTGTAAGCTAAGCTTTGAAGGGCATAAGTTTCGCTGGATTTGAAGACAATTTAAATTTTTAGCGAATTTCTAAGTGAAGGGGGTTGGTCGCCACGGCAGTTTGGATCACTCAACTTCAAAGGAGCAATTCTCACGACTGGATCATTAGATTGCAATAAAATTTATTGGGGCAGGAGCGTCTTTAAGTTAACCTTGCAACAATCTGCAAATCATTCAATTTGGAGCTAATTAAAATTTTTGGCGAATTTTGGAGTAGAAGGGGGCCGCTGCCTTCAATCCTTGGCATTGTCAAGGTACCTTCGCTTTTACCTCTCTTATTTTATTTTTACTTTTATCTTCACAGGAACTTGTAATCTCCACATTTCAACTTTTGACTAATAAATTTTAACTTTTAACTTTTAACCTTTAATATTCTCACTTAAATTTTTAAACTTTGAACTTTAACTTTTGAATTTAATATTTAATTTTAATTTTTAATTTTTAACTTTAACTTTTAACTTTAACTTTTAATTTAAACTTAATTTTTTATTCTTATTGTGAATTAATAAGAAAAACTTAATTAATTACTTTTATCCTTTTTGTGTGTAGTGAATGTCATCTGATATTTTAATTTAATATTGGTAACCATTGCTTGGAAGGCATTAATTTTAATTGAATTACAAACACCCACATTTTAATTAACCTAAAAATTTCACAATTGGGAGTTCTTCCATTCTACCTCTTGAGCGCATTGTGTAGTACTAAATCCATAGAGTGGTGGATTTTAGGTTCATACCTAATGATCAAGCATCATTCTATGTGAGTTTTCATCACTATTATCGTTGTTAACAATATGAAACTCTAAAAATTTCACAATAGCACAACATTTTAAATGATAATTTATACAAAAAAGTATTTATGCATTAACCTTGGAGTTTCAAAAAACCTTTCTTGAAATCATTCTATTCTTACTTCTAAAAAAGCCTTTATAGGTCTAAGTAAAGTGTTCATTAATAAAATAAAAAAATCAATCTTTGCCTAAAATAATTCAATCTTTATCCATTTATTGCCAATCCTTGATTCTACTTAAACCACAATACCTTTCTTCACACAATTGTTCAAATTTATATCAACAATGATATAATTTTTTATTTTAACTTAGATTTGTTCAAAAAAAATTATTATTTCAAAGCTCCTTTCAAGGTCACTACCAAATTTCTTATTTTTTTGAAGATTTTTAAATTCAATAATCCAACTTATAATAATGATTTTTTTTTCATGAACATTGTTATGTTATGGTAGTTCTTAACCATTTTAATATCATTTATTATAAATTTATTTCTACTCTTGCCAAAACTTGATCTACTCTTTTTGCTAATATATTTGGCGATTTATTAAACACTAAATTATACACTTGGTGTATTGGATGTTTAATATATACTATAATCTTCACTCAATCCAAAACTACCTTTGCCATCAATAAAACAACTCTATTCTAACAATCTCCAAAAACTTAATACTAGAAAGCATTAAAGAGATATCTTAAAGAAACCATTACTTTTTATCTTTAGTTTTGACAAACTTCTAATCTCCATCTTTGTAGTTTCTTTGATTTCAACTATGCAAGCAACCTTAATGATTGGAAAAGCCGCATTAGTTATATGTTCTTTCTAGCTAGTGGAGCAATTTCTTGGACAAGCCAACAACCATGTAGCATTGATTCTACAATTGGCAATGAGCTTCTTGAAATGGCTAAACAACAATGAAAAAAATATGATTATTTTTTCTCTTAAAAAATATTGCAATATGTTAATCCCTCTCAATTGTTATTTCTTGTGATAATCAGGGAGCAATTGCTCTTGTTAAAAATCTAGTTTTTGACAAACAAATAAATCAAATCAATAATAAATATTAATTCATTTGAGAGAAACTCTGGGAGAAACAACAAATTGATTTTTGTTACATTTGAACTCCCCACCAAATAGTTGATATTTTCACCAAAGCTCCTCAAGATCACTTCATTTAATTGCAAACTTTTCTGGGCATTATAACTTTCACTGTCAACTGAGAGTGGGAGATGATGAGTGACATTTAGAGTAGAAAGTCAAAATGAACAAATGGGAGTGTTGGATGAATACATTCATTTGACTTCCTAAATTTAACCTTAAATTGTAACTCTCTGTATATAGATTAATGTTCAATGTAAATTAGCTATTCATTTACAAAACAGGCTGGATATCGTTTGCGTAGAGACCAGTCACAAGTTGTGTCTCGAAGACCATACTGTAAAGTGGATCAGTGCTACTGCCGTTTAATCGATGCTTGTGCGTAATGACGCCATGACAAGGTCACGAGCCCACAATAGGAATACCCCAGCATCAGTCTCTAAGAGTATCTCCACCTCATGTCTGTCGATGACATCAAGCGAGCAAACTTCGCTGAGTGAGCAGATTCTACTGCGACACAGCCCAAACCTTTCGGTGGTTATCCACGTATACACTACACCATTCTGATCAGGTCACTAGAAGACTTCCGTACCCAACATGTGCAAAGAGTTACTGTACTGATGTAAAATGGTTCGTCAGTGGAAGGGTGAAAGGTTCACAAAGGGCTGATGCAAGTAAGGTTGAAAGGCTAAGAACGCCTCCAGACTCAGCTCGAAGGGCGACATCCATCGTTCGAAATTCTAACTCATGAGTTTACAATTGAAAGCGTAGAGAACGCTGAACCTGATAATTGCACAACACCATGATTGACAACAAATTTGGCCCTCACTCGCGCTCTCATCGACAAACTTCACATCCTGAAGACTGTCGACCAAAACAACTTCCCGCAATCACAACTATCTTATCTATTTATCTACGGCATGCAGCCGCAAACCAACAACTACCTGAGCTCGAGATGTCCGAATGCTGGTTCATTGTCCACATCCGGAGAGGAGATCTTGACATTCTGGTCGCGTAGACACTCCGTGCTTCAGAAGGCTTCGTCTCACAAACAACACCAAACGGGGTTAGAGGGTACACGTATGTCACACTGCAATGGAACGACATCACGCCAGGATTGTGGAAACTGCAAGCGAACTGAGATATTGAGCCATGGTGCTCATTTACTCGATCCCGCCAGTTTTCGGTTCCCACCGACTTCGATGTCGCCTTCACCGCCAGCGCCAGGAGTAGACGTAGAGCGAGGTTGATGTTCCTCCGAGGTAGACCCAGAAGCATGATCAGAAGCGGTGACAGAAGACACTGACAGCAAAACAGGTTCCACCACACAGCAGGACGTCTCAGCTTCGCGGCTCAGAGCCAGCCCCCACAACATCTCAGCGGATTATCTTACAACGTGAAACATGCGCAATCAAGATGCTCAAGCTACACCAAGAACCATTCTGAAAGACACAGACCTACACGTGACCAGAATCCATTCCGTTTGAAGGTTACCTTTTCCCACGCTCTGACGAAATAATTTCATTATACCCTCCGCAGATGATGGAACAGGTTCCCAGGTAAAGTTGGGTTGCCTACCAGTAGCAGCAGAGGTCCTAATCACAACTTCCTTATGCTTCAACAGGTCGTTCGAGCTGAGCACCAGTTGTCGACTTTGACCACCAGATGTACAGGAATAAACCCAGAACTCACAATACGATGCATCCGAAACGTTGACATTGATATGCCCCTGCTTGCCTATTGGGGGACCCATGTCGGACAGTATTCCTTCAGTGTTCATTTTGATCGTGATGCTGCCACCAGTGTCATTGGTTATCTTTATGGTCTTCGACATGTTAACTTCGGACCTGCTACTGCCGCGGACTGCGAAGGCCCTGGTGGCTCAGTCCCAACCTTGGAGAACCCACTTGTCGCAAAGGAGTACAAAATGTGAGACGACAAATATTGCTGTGAAACAAATCACCGACACAATGACACCAGCCCTGCCAAAGTTCAGCGCGCTGCACAGCGCGGTGGAGTGATTGCTGCTTAGTCCCTGCACTTCGCTTGAATTTTCCGTAGAGTCTTTGGCAAAATCAAAATTATTACCCTTGTATCTAAGCTGCGATATTCGCCCTGCTGTAACCTGGATATCATTCCCCACACCATGTTCAGACTTGCCAGCAAAGAAGATGTCAACAGAACCACAATTTTTCTGCGGAGCAATGATGAAGACACATACGACTCATAGCACTAGCTTCGACGGGTCAGCGATGCGAACAGCCACGATCACGCAGACTGCATCTTGGCCAGGACGCTTGGAGAAAAACACTCATGTTGCAAACTTGAAGCTACGGAAAAGCACACTGTGACATACGCTTCGGAGTATGTCGGCAGTTGCTTCGTTGAACTCCAAGTCCGCAAATCGTCTGAACTTTTACAGCAGTGAAGTGGTTGTGACTACTGCAGCAATCAGTCAACACGGTCGAACACCAAATCTTCCCGCACTTACGCAGGTACGTCCCAGTCGTCAACTGTGACAGGGCGGTGAGGACGACCGCCTAGAAGATACTGAATAATCCAATTATGTTGTACACCAGGTGTCTTAAGTCCGCATGAACCTTTCGTAAAGCTTAGAACTGGGTCGCATAACCATTTCCGATCTCAGTCCAAGCCTTGAAACTGTCTCGAATACTTTGCTCTCCCCGATCCCAACTAGGTTGATAATCTGACGCAATGACTGCTCTTCACGGCCATGCTCCTTCCTCTCCTGATCAAGCACAGCATCTGCTTATTTCGCACTTGCTCTGCTGTCTATTCGAGGATCCGCTTGTCTGTCCTCCACCAATGCCGACTTAGGATTTGCAGAAGCCGAACCTGTAACCCTTAGATCACCAGAACCATTCTCGAAAGCGGCGCCTCTAACCTTGTGAAAAACGTTCACTCTGGTTTCAATGACCGGGTCACTCTCCCTTCGTGAAGCCGCGCCTTCATCCGTCTCTTTTCGTTCAGTCCCATTTGCCTCGAGACCTTGTTTCCGCATCCTTGAACGCACCCATTCGCTCTGAACTGTGAAGTGCTCCATCCCCTGAGGTTTGTATTACTTTCAATTTACCTGATACTTGAACAAGGGCGGGAGCACATTATGTTACATTTGTAACATTCTGTAAGAAGGAGGTCCTCCCTCCAATATATATGATGAAAAAAAAAGTATAATAATAAAGAACTTTGAAGTGCGGCTGAAGCACTTGCGCTGCAATTCTTCTCAGACCTATGGTGAACGCGGTAGTAACTTTGATAATTATTTCAATAATTATATTCACCAATTCGTTTGTCATGCAATAATTATGAAAGTCAAGTGACAAGAGGTAGCATAGAACATTCCACCACGCGGTGATGTCGAAGGCCACTGTAGTAGTCAGTTAAGCCAGACCGGCAGCTGGCTCGTATCGATAACCCAGGTGGAACCTGCTTTGGTGCAAGCGTCGTAGACACGGCATTGTCTCTTGCCTGGAAAGCGACGATTCTTTATCTTTGAAATAAATGCGCACGTTCAAGCGACGGATATGCAGTGGCTTGCCATTTCGAAGAGTTCAAGTCGGTAGAATAATGTTTTCCTCGTATCATTATGCACCCATCCATCCACAAAATCCACTCAATGTCACAGTGAGTTGAAGATCTGTGTTCAACTCACTGTATACCTCATCAACAACGTCGACGCACGAGCTTTTCTCCCTTTACCATTTTCTGAAAGACGACGTGGGCAGACTGTCGATTTTCGCCCACCACTGTACTTCAATCCATGCACAAAATCCGTCCACAACCATAAACAGTTGATGGCTAAAATTTTACAGCACATGACATGCTCCAAATTTGGCCCCGAACCAAATATTGCCTGAATATGGTAAAATTTCCGCTTCTACCTTTAATGCCCATTTTATTCTTGGTTTCAACTTTTCGTTTGTCAATGCATTCCAAAAGTATGGGTATCTTTTCAGATACTTCGATCCCTTGGGTCTTATGCTTTAGGGCAATGCTTGGCTTGTCATGTCAAATCTGATCTAAAGGTTAACAAAAATTCTTGTGCAATATCCAAAAGCATCTCATGCAAAATGAAGATTTGACTTAATTCTAGCTGGTTTGAATAAAATTTGTAGAGGATGTTGTTAATATTGTCACATCTCACATGAACGGAAGCTTCTAAAAGGTTCTAAAATATTCTAAAAGGTTCTTGAAATATTCTACCAAATTCTAAAAAGTTTTTGGAGATTTGAAGAAGTTATTTAAGAAGCTTCTTAATACCTAATATATATTAGAGTTGAAGCTAAAAGAAGCTTTAGTTCACTTTTCTAAGTATTGATCTTGTATTCATTTAGTATAATTAATTTCTTATTAGTTTTTTTATTGAATTCTTTTATTCAACTTCTTATTTGGTCTCCTATATAGTGTATCTGTGACAGTTTGTTAAGACTACCTTCTTATTAATATTAGAGCTTGATCTTTCTTGATAGAAATAAATTATCCTTTTTCTTAAAGACATCTAAGTGATTTAGAGATTGTAGAGTACCTTCTTCTAAATTGGTATTATTTTAGAAACTTTTTTTTTATTTTTATTTTTAGGATGGTTGGAAGTAAAGATGTTAATATGATTGAGTCTCTCAAGTCCAAGTTAGATGTTGTTATGAACACACTAAATGCTTTAGCTTGTAGAATTATTAAAATTGAGAGATTTTTACCAAGATTTCATAATGATGTAAGACCTAAAGCAAGTCAACCTATGATGCAACCACTTTCTCAAGCTTATATATCTAAGGAGGCAATGGCATATGTATCTCAATAAGAAAATTTACTTATTCAATAATGTGAAGAGCCTTGGATTAGTCTTCTAAAAAAAATTGATAGTATATACTCAAAGTTCCAAGGATTTGTTAACTAAATTTGATTGATAATTTTTCTACAACCTGTATACTATCCAATAGAAGAGTTGCAAGCTAGTTTAGTTGAAATCTTCCTCACAAGATAAGCCTTATCTTTGTTTGCTTCTTTATTTGAAAAGAGATCTCTAATCTTAAATAATTTTTAAGCTTTCTTACAAGCATTTGCATAGGTATTTAGAGAACATGACAAGGCTCAATATGCAATAATAAAGATTTATTCATTACGTCAAAGATAACACTCTACATTAATTTATGCATCTGATTTTAGACAATTGGCTTATAACATCAATTGAAATGAACAAGTTTTTATGAGCTAATTCTATTGGAGACTATGGAATGATATAAAAGACCTATAACTATTATTAATTAATCCTCAAATATTCAATAAAGCTATCAATTAAGCTTTGAAGTGCAATAATCAATTATTTCAATACCATCAAGATCAATACTTGTGGACTTTGATAAAACAACATACTAAAAATTCGTATTCTATTACTTCAACAAATATATTACTTTCACACTCTAAAGCTAAAGATATCCAAATTGATGTTGTACAATTCAAACCTCTTAAAATAGAGGAGAAAAAATATCAATTTCAACAAGGCCTATGCTTATATTGCAGTGAAGAAGGTCACAAATCTACAAATTGTTTAAAAAAACAATATATAAGTAGGACCATGAATGTGATTGTTTAGGAAAATGAAGATACCTTGCTATAATAGGAACCATACAATTGGATATTTCAACACCTCAAATTCATTAAGATTCCTCTCTTTCTATCCAATCTACTTGTTGTTATACTATATCTTTATTTCTTGGACTACAAAAACTTTAAACAAATGCCTTGTTAGATTCAAGAGCATCTATATTTTTTTTAGATGAAGAGTTTTTCAAACTTCATAAAATTCTTCTAGTATAGAGATCAAAACTTGTACATATAGAAATGATAGATAGTCGACCTTTATTTTCAAGCAATGTTACTTATGAAACTATATCACTAAAAATATAATTTGAAGGCCATAGTAGCAAAATAGTATCCAATATTATTAAAATTCCAATCAATCCTATCATACTAAGACTTTTGTAGTTAAAAAGATATAATTCATCTATAGATTGGAGATTTTATAATATTAAATTTCTTATAGAATTTCTTTGGGCAAAACCTATCAAGAAGTTATCAACGGTAAAGCTTTTATTTCTTGCAACAAGGGCTTTTATGAAGATAGTTAAGAAAGAAATAACATTTGTTATTTATACAACTCCAACTTGTAAAGAAGTAAGCTTTTTATCTCAAAGTAATATAAAGAATTTTAAGATGTTTTCAAAAAAATATATATATTGATATATTGCCAAAGCATCAGTTATATAATCATGCCATTATTCTTCAAGAAAAGACTCAACTACTATTTGGCCCAATTTAAAACCTATCATAAAGCAAATTTTTGGCATTGAAGGATTACATCAACAAAAATCTTGCAAAGAACTTTATTTGGCATTCCAAATTTCCAACAAGTGCACCAATACTTTTTATGAAGAAAAAAGATGAATCTTTGCAAATATGTATTGATTATTGTGGCCTCACTAAAATAATGGAATTATTATCCATAATTGTTGATATCAAGGCTTTTGAAGCAACTCGGTTAAGCCAAGATCTATACTAAAATAAATCTCTATAAAGTATATAATTTGGTATAGATTAAAAAAGATATAAATAGAAGACATTGTTTTGGACAAGATATGGATATTTTGAATATAATGTCATGCCTTACGAATTGATAAATGCTCTAACTATATTCTAACATTTGATGAATGATATTTCTTAAGAATTTTTGGATAAGTTTGTTATCTACTATCTTCATAATATCTTAATCTATTCTAAGAATCTTAAAGAATATAAAGTATATATGAAATTAGTCTTGTAAAAGTTACTAGATGCAAGATTATAAGCCAAATTAGATAAATATATATTCTATCAATTAAAAGTAGAATTTTTGGATATATTATATCCATTGAAGATCTATTGATGGACCCAAAGAAAGTTCAAGCTATAACAAAGTGGGCAAATCCAAAAATAATATGGAATATACAATATTTCATTGAATTTGATAATTTCTATGAGATATTTATTAAGAATTATTCCCAAGTTGTTGTTCTTTTCACTTGGTTGATATCCAAAGACAAGTTAGAATTAGGATCTCAAACACAAAAGGCTTTTTCAGATTTAATGATAGCTTTTATTACAATTCCAATCTTACAACATCTAGATTTTGTGGAAGCCTTCTATTTGGAGTTTAATACTTTCGACTTTGCATTAAGAATTATATTATCATAGATAAAAAAAAAATAGAAAGCTCCACCTAATTGTGTTCTATTCTAAAAAGTTTTCAATTGTAGAGATGAATTATGAAATTCACAATAAAGAATTTCTTATGATTATATCTTGCTCCTAAAGTTGGAGAAGTAGCATTTGATCAAAAATATATTATTTTCTTGAAGCCACAAGAATTTTATCTTTCTACTATTTCTATAATTATACTTGTTGATTCAATTTTTCTAGAATAAATTTGTATAGCATCAATAAAGGACTTATCAATTTGTAATATCAAGTACCGCTCTAACAATGACAAGTTCAAGTTTATGAAAGATCTTTTGTATTTTGAAGATCATTTATATATTCCAAAAGGACTAATGTGTCTTTGTGCTTTTAAACTCATCATGATTTTATAATTGTAGGACATTTTGGATTTAACAAAATATTAGAGCTTATTTCTCAAGATTTCTTGTGGTCTCAAATATAAAAGATTATAAAGGACTTTGTTCTTTCATGTGACATTTGTTTAAGATCCAAGTATTTCCAACATCATCCTTATGGACTTCTATAACTACTATCAATCTCAAAGTGACCATGGTCTTTAGTATCAATGTATTTTATTATTAATCTGCTTCCATCAACTACATTAGATGCTATCTACATTGTTTTGGAACAGCTTACAAAAATGGCCTATTTTGTGCCATGCAAAAAGATAATTTTTGGAAAAGAAATAGCTAGGCTCTTTTTTGATAATATATATCAATATCATGGCCTACCTAATGACATTATTTTTGATTGAAGACCTCAATTTATATCAAAGTTTTAGAAATCTTTTTTTAAAATATTGAACATAGATATTAAACTTTTCTTTCTCTTTCACCTTCAAATCAATGATCAAACAAAACAAGTCAATCAAGTTTTAGAGCAATATTTGTGATGTACTATCAATTATCAATAAGATGATTGGATCTTACATTTATCTTTAGCAAAGTTTGCTTATTATAATACTCTTTATACTTAAATTTAATAAATATCATTTTATTCTAATTATGATTAGCATCCAAAGCTTAATTTATTAAATATATCTAAAGATAAAAATTTAACAATGAAAGAGCTTATAAAAGAATTGTCACAACTTCAAATAACTTTGAAGCTCCATTTACAAGCAATTCAAGATTCTAACAAAGCATCTTCAAAGAAATTTAAAAAAGAATCTCTTGTTTTTTAAGTTAAAGAGAAAGTTTGGCTTTTTTGACAAAATATCAAAACCAATTTGCCTTGTCATAAGTTAAACTATTGAAGACTAAGGCCATTTTGCATTTAAAAGAAAATCAATCCAATAGCTTATTGGTTGAAACTACCGACATCTATGAAGATACATCCAATCTTTCATGTTTCTTTCTTACATGCTTATTCAAAATTAACTATTTTAGGAAGAATACAACCATCACTTCCTTGAATTGAAATAGATAATTATGTGGAATATGAGGTGGAAAGATTCTTAATTCTTGACAAAGAAGAGACAAGTTAGAGTATTTTATTCATTAGCACAGCTACAATATCAATGAGCGTACATAGAAATCAGAAGAAAATCTAGTTAATACGTTGCAAAAGGTAAAAAAATTTCATTGATGTTATGTTCTAAAACCTAAACTTATTTTAGGATGACTTCTCTATGAAGCTACTGCTAGGATATTGTATATAATAAATAAAGTAGATATAAAACTGATGCTTCTCGTGGAACTTAGAATTAGAAAAGAAAGTAATGTTATGGATATTCAATAAGAGAGATTCTAAGAATATTCTTTAAAATATTCTATTAGATTCTAAAAGGTTCCAAAAAATTCTTTAAAAATTTTTTAAAGATTTTTAAAATGTTTTAAAAGATTTTTAGAATATTTCAATAGATTCTAAAAAATTCTAAGAAGTTTAAAGAAGCTATTTGAGAAGCTTCATAGGATTGATTCATCTTCAAGCAACATGAAAACTTCTTAAAAAACTTCCTAAGATTGCTTCATCTTCAAACAATATAAAAACTTCTTGAAAAGCTTCCTAATATCTAATATATATTGGAATTGAGGTTGAAAGAATCCTCAATCTTGACAATACATCTCTTGGAGTTTTAACTCACTTTTTTAGGTATTGATCTTATACTCATTTGGTGTAATCAAGTTCTTATTAGCTTTCTTATTAAACTCTTTTGTTCAACTTCTTATTTGGTCGCTCATATAATGTATCTATGACAAAACCATTATTCCAAATGATACAATAAGACATAGTTTCTTTATATTTCTATTAATATATATATATATATATATATATATATTTAAATTACTACTATCTTAGAGCAAATAAATCATATAAATCAAAAAAATTATAAGATTTTTTTAGCAATATCCAAGAAAATATTTAAATCTAATTTGTATGATTTTATTCTATCTTAAGTAAGTCAATTTTGTCCAAATTTTTCTTTAAAATATATTTATTTTTATTATTTATTTATTTTTGTTTTCATAGTAGAATATAAATTTTAGGCACATGTTTTAAAAAAATAAAATATTAATCAATATATATTGTATGATAAAAATTTTATTTCTAAATATATTATTAAATTTGATATTATTTTAGATATTAAATTATTAAACATAACTAAGTTTAATTTTCATATTATTCTAATTATTCTTAAAACATAACTAATTAAGAATTTTTATTTTTAAATGAATAATAATAGATTTTTTGTTAAATCTAATCTCAATTCAAGTTTATAGTAGTAGAATTTTTTTGTGAAAAAGACTAAGAGTCTGAGTTAAAGATCTAGGCATTTGTTCTGAATTCTTATTATTTTATATCCTCATTTATGATGAAGATTTTTGAAATATGTTTATGTTATATTTTTATATAACATTAATATGTAAACATGAAACATAAAACATGTGTTTATATTTATATTTTTTATAATTATTATAATAAAGATTATGTTGACATTTTTAGATTTTTTATAAATAAATAAAAATTGACCTATTTCAATTTAACATCATACTTTAACCCATCACCCACAAATCAAAACATATAAACTCAATCCCTAAATCACTATTCCTAATAAAACCATCACAAACACTTTTCACAAATCCCAAACAACAACAACACACTCTTTCATACAATATACAAACAAAGCGTCCAATGATAAATCTTATTGATAATGAATCGGTTATGGATCCGAATGGGTTGGAAATTAAAATCCAATCAAACTAGACTTTAAACATTAAGTGCAATTAGCCAGCAATTTATTCAGACCCTTGTTCAATTTTAGAATAAACACTGCTGCTCCCGAAGCTTCGGCGTTGAAAAGAGAAGAAATGGAGGGGCTGTTGCATAAGGAAGCTTCGTCGGAACTAACATCCGCCCTAAATGGATGACATTCATCCAAATGGATTATTGACGAAGGGGACACAAAATGTCTCCTCGGCTCATTGCAGACGCAGTGTGCGCATTTCGGTCCCGATCGGCCACGATCTCTGCAGATTCAGGGTCTTGCGAATTTCTGATCTGTTGGGTTAATTTTGTTAAGCTTTTCGCGAATTGGATCACAGTTTTCAACGACTTTAGGGCGGGCTTCGGATCTCGTTTCGGTGGCAAAGAGTCGAGGTTTAGTGTGAGGTTTCTCTCCGCTAGAGGTACTGAAAGATCTGATTGATTGATTGATTGATTGATTGCTTTCGGCTGTGCTGAACGATTGCGGAAATCTTGCGTTGAGCGATATCGTGGTAGTTTTTCGGAAGCTGGAATTTTCGAGAGTAGGATGCCCATGATCAAGCGTCTGAAGGTATATTTCCATAGTTTGGACTGAAGAACTTTGTTGGTTGTACTCTTTAGGTTTTAGCCCACAGCATGAACATGCTGCCAATCCATACATTTTTTGTTGTGGACTGAGTTTCCAAGCCGTGAACCTCAATTCTGACGCTGTCATTAACCATAATTTGGCTTGCCGTACAAATGGTAAATGCAATGGTAGTGAAATCACATCTGAAACTGTTACCTGGCTTGATTTTGGGATTGGTGCAGAGTTGGTTGTGCAAGCCTCAGACGCAAACTCAGTCCGATTCGGTTACAGCTAGCAAATCACTGGAGGCGGGAAGTATGGCAACTTCAGCTGGTTTGAGTACTTTTTATGTATCGCATGGGTCGCCTATGATGCCACTTGAGGATACTCCCATACGAGAATTCTTCTCCACTTGGACGGAGCGCTATCCCACAAGGTACTGCGTCAATCTTCTTTCTGATTCACATCGATTGAAGCAAATAAACTCAGGTCAAGGACGTGAAATCACATCAATTCAATACAGCCGCGATAAGTTTTGAAAATTGCTCATCACAGAAGCAACCTACTTCTATCAAAATAATATTGGATCCTATTGCATGTCCGCGGCTTTGATCAGGCCAAAGGCCATTCTCGCAATTTCAGCTCACTGGGATACTCGAGAGCCTGCCGTTAATGCTGTCAGCCAGAACAGCACTATTCACGACTTTTATGGCTTCCCTCGCGAGCTATATCAAGTAATTCCTGCACTAACACACCACTACTTTCACCAGATTCTGCGCTACACAAGTTTTTGTTCACTGATTGGTACCTTGATTCATTTGTTTTCCTCCTTAGTATCTGAATCTTTTTTTCATTCTGGTCACGATTACGTGACATATTTCATAGATTCTCTGACAAATTCAAGGTCTACTTATATAACACCAGTCTTTTCCTACGTCGTTTGTGCTCATGAGATAATTGTTTTCTCCTGTGTCCTCGTCAGTTGCAATACACGCCTCCAGGGGCTCCAGACGTTGCAAAGAGGGTGACATCTCTCCTCAAAGACGCTGGCTTCAAGACCGTCCTCGAGGACAACAAGAGAGGGCTCGACCACGGAGCATGGACGCCCCTGATGCTAATGTACCCCAACGCTGACATTCCTGTCCTCCAGGTCTCAATCCAAAGCAACAAAGATGGGCTTCACCATTACCAGCTCGGCCGGGCTCTTGCACCGCTCAAGGACGAAGGAGTGTTAATTTTTGCCTCTGGAACTACAGTCCACAATTTGAGAGAGATAGATTTTTCTGCCAAGAAGCCAACTGTGTGGGCCAAGGCATTCGACGGATGGTTGACTGATGTGCTACTCAACAGCAAGTAAGAATTCTTCCATTCCTCCGTTTCTTATCCATTTGAAGAGCCTGTCCACAAAGATCAGAGTTCATAAATTCCCATGGATCATTTTACTGCATAATCTCTGTGGTTTTGATTTGTGACGGTTTTTTAGGGTTGTTTGAGCTCTTTTCTTTCTTTCTTTCTTTTTGTCTTTGTGAAGCTGACGTAGTGTTAAACGACATCGATGCAGGCACAAGGAAGCAATGGAATGGGAGAAAGCACCATATGCTTCCAAAGCTCACCCTCATCCAGATCATTTCCTGCCTGTGTTGGTTGGGTTGGGAGCTGCGGGAGAGCAATGCCAAGCTGAGAAGATATATGAGGAATTCGCATATGGTTTGGCGCTTTCATGTTTTGCTTTCCATCCTCAAAACTAGTATGGTAGTTGTTGGTTAAAGTTTTCCACATGTGCTGCTTGAGTGGATGCTCACCACACAGCTGGTTAAACAATTTCCAATGTGTGGATATTGATTTGTATTTTTCATTCTATTTTGAATAAATATGTTAGCTCCCGTATCTTGTAAACCAGTTCTTAAACATGTGTTTTAAGCTATGACTTATTCATGTTGCACTGCTCATCAAATTGCCCCACGTAAGGATTATAGTGTGTTATTCTGTGTTTAGTGAGTTTTCTTTTCGCTCTTAAAAAAGAAGTGTTTGTGCAAGAAGTATGCTGATAAAGTTTTATGTATGTGTTTGATATCCTGATGTAAAGTTTTTTCAACTTAGTGTCCAACTTTAAAATCAACACAAAGATTCTCATTAGTACTATTCACATAGTAATTCAAAGATAAGAACTAGTTTTATTTTCCAATGATGCTAACTTACAACTTAAAATAGAACTAATTTATCTAAAATTGTCTTTCCTAATAGAGGATTCAAGTGTGTTACGTGTATAATACATGTCATGACGAGTGTTTAACTTTTATCACGTGTTTGTCAGAAGTGATAGCCATTATTCACGAAAACTAATAAAGTAATTTAAGCTGGTGTCCAATAATTGAATGTAATAAAATAACGTTACAAAGATTGGGATTATTGATGAAATCAGTTCATTTGAAGTCTCATCATCACTGATCATTTTCAGAGAATTAAATATAGAAATTAGATTATTAAGATGTTATCAAGAGTATTAAAAGCTTTTGTGTCAAAAAATTATGTGAAAACTTTATGCACTTTGAATGCAGTGTGTTGTTATAAACATATGACATGGTTCTCGTTTTCTAGTATAAATAGTAATTTTTAAATTGATTTTTCTTTTACAGTAAAGAAAAAATACAAGATTTAAATTTCTACACTTTAAATCTTGATTTTATCAAAAAATTATTATATCAATCTGACAATTTGAACAATTTTTTATTACATGTTGATATATATATATATATATATATATAATTATTTAATTACTTAATTATACATGTTTAAATAAAAAAAATCTTGACAAGAGAAAATTTTGGAATATTTTAGATTATTAAGCCTCCAATTTTAAATACAATATAAATAATCCCTAAACTGTAAGATTTCAACAAAAGCATCTTCATAAACTCTACATCAAAAAGATCTAATAAAGCAAAGCATCACCATGTGTATCATTCATGAGATGTCAGAGGTTTAGATCCATACATGGATGATATGTGCAGACAAAAGCTGACTTCTTATCTCTCTCTTTGGGGTTTCAAGTTTATGTGTTTACCGAAGTATTTGTAGAATTTTAGTATTTATGATCAAGAAAGATGGACACATGAAAAAATTGTGTGGATGGATTATAAAGACAGAAGGGGAAAAATATACAAGTTTATATCAAAAAATTAGTTTGATGATTTTTATTTTCGAATTTGTTGATTAATAAAATGTTAAGATGCAACACGTATTTATAATTTTTCCTTAAGGATTTCTCTTACTTAAATTTTGGACAATATAATACTGAACTCTCATAAAAAAAATTAAAAAATAAAGAAGTAAGTTATTTATTACTTTAAAAGAATTTCTCATCAGAAAATTTTAAAAACGTGAATAGATAAATATACTAAATACTGATTTAAGTATATATTTATTACGGTTTGTTATATCTTAAATGTCATGTTGCTAGAAATTTATATCATTCTTGAAGTATATGTCATTATGATTAAACAAAATAAAAGAACAGGACAAATAGATTTTTATAAAATTAATCATCAAAAAAAATTGTTGAATTTTTATTTTTAAAAATATTATAACTTTCTATAATTTAAGTTCTAATGAGAAATACTTCTTTAATTTCTAATGAGAAATTGCTTTAAAGTATAGGTTTATTTTCAACTACAAGCTGGTTTTCTTTTCTTTTCTTTTTTTTTAAGTACAAGATTTTATTGCCCAAATAGGATAATTAAAACTGTTTTTTCTTTTTTAAATCAATACACAGTATTAAAAAACTTTCTTGCTACATTTGGAATTTTTATATAACAACATACTATTATTTTTACGTCATAAACACCATTTTTATTATTGATTTTTAATATTGATTTTATGGTCTTTAGAATTTCAGTAATTTTATAACAAAAAATTTAGCAAATAAAAACCAAAGCTTCATATAATGATTAAGATGCAAAAAATAAAAAAAAAAAAAAAAAAAAAAAAACCTAAGTATATATATATAATGACCTCTATTTAAAGTTGCTGAAAAAATATGGTCATTTTGTTGCAGCATTAAAACCAATTAATCTTATAACAAGTTAAATCATCAAAAACCTAAATCATTTTACTATTTGAAAATGAATCAATATAATTGCATATTGATATAATTACCAAATTAATAAAGATACATTACGTTTTTCTTAAATTTTTCTTATTTTTAATTATAAAATAATTGATATTTGAAAAAAGAAGAAATTATTATCATTCTTTAACAAATTATATACTAATTGATACTTCCAAACAAAACTAGTATAAGATTTAAAATCATATTAAAATAAATTATGAATATCTTATATATTGGAGCTATTATGATATTAATAAATATACATAAGAACCACTTAAGAATCTTAAAAATGCATCAAGAAAGGTTTTTTTGTTTTTATTCTTTTTATGAACATTATCTATCTAATACAAAGATCAACTACTAACAGATATAGCAAGATTTTATAAAATAAATAAATCAAATAAATATAAAATGAAAAATAGAAAATCTTTCTCACATTTTATTTTTTATTTCTTCTCTCTAAGATGCAAAAATCAACACACTTAACATTTATTTTAAAAATTCTCATTTACAAAATTGCTTAAAAATCCATTTAAATTGTCAAAACCTTCAATGCATTATAATTAAGACAAATATCTAAATAGATTATATTATTTTTCTCAGATAAATAAAGAGATGTAACATATTTGGAATGCTTACCTAAAAAAGATACATTTATGTATTGTAAAATCAACAAAAATAGCTATTATAGCTAATAGTAATAGTTAATAATATAATATTTTTATATTTATAAAATTATATATTTATCATTAAATAACTAAATAGTCTTCTTTTCTAAATGTCAAATAATATTAATGGCTCAAAGTAGATATATAATAAACAATAGAAATATTTTATATAAGTAGATATATAATCATAAACTACCTAGCATATCATAAAATAACAAATATTATATTGTCCAAATTATTTGGGATTATCAAAGCACAAGGTAGAGTTTTTGAATATACAAAATATAATTATGTATGTTTGCCTATTCAACATTCTATGTGTGCTAAATTAAGATATATATTCTTGGATTGATGCTTGTTCAATAATTATATTTTGTATTATTGAATATATAAAATTTAAAAACAATTGGTGATATTTAGTTAATTTGACGATTTTAAAAACTTAGAATTTTGATTAAAATATATTTTATAGTTTCCATGATACAAATCTAAACATTTATCTCCTAGCATTTCATAAAATAACAAATCTCATTCATATCATCAACAATTTTGGTTTCTTATTTATTAATTTAATTTTAAAAAATTATCAAATGAGAATATTTAAAATATTTCTATTGTTTATTATATATCTACTCTTGTAAAAATATAAACAATGGAAATACTTCTATAAAATGGCATGTAAGTTATTCCTTTGTACAAAATAACAAGCAATCCTCCTTTGATCCATAACAAATTTAAATATCTAAAATTTCAAAATCATGTAGTAATTTTATTGATATTTTAAAATAACAAAATGCATCATTTTACACTCTTTCCCTCTTGTAATGTTTTATGTAGTGTGGCTATGGATTGAAAATTACACACTTTTTCATGAAGTTTCATGTATGTATGTGTACAGCAAACCAATACAGTTGTAATATTAACATGATACGTTACAACAGTCTTAGTATTTGTTTCTTTACCTCCCAACTCCATGTTTGTGTATATATATATATATATATATATATATACAGGAAGAAGCCAAGAACTCATATAACAGAGCTCCAATGAAACATCACCACTAAAATGACACCCACGAGACTCATTTACACTCCAGGATCCAATTTGTCTCATGCCACGCCGGATGAAACAAAATATTTAAAAGTGAAAAAAATGTAAAAAATGTCGTCAGTGTGGCAGAATATATTCCGATATTTTTGGCTTTTCCCTCAAAAAATGGAAAAAAAATAACAGTATAAGTGGTCACCACGTTTACAAGCTCATGCAGTCATATGTATATTCCCTAAATCGAGCCCAGGATTACATGGATATACCCACTCAAATCAAAGGCCACCCTCCCACTTGACAATCATCATCCAAAAGAGGAAATCAATACATAATTCAGAATAGAAGAAAATGAGAGGAGAGAGAGAGACTCAACTCAAGCAAGCAAAAAAATAACTTATAAAAAATATCGATTAGAAAATAATTCTTACAGCCATGTTATCTGCAACCGTGAGAAGCACCCCCACAAGTGAATGGCAGAAATGCAAATAATCCCTTGAGATGGCGAAATCCGCATGGAATCTCAGTTATCCTGTTCCAAAGTGGGATCCAATCCTTATTTTAATTCATTCCCTCAGTCTCCGAGTGATTCTGCGGTGTGTCTTGAACAAAGCACATGTGCACGGAACCGGGGACAGATTATTCTCAAAGGATATATCAGCAGAGATTAATTCATACAAAAAACCGGCATTCATTCATCTATAACAAAGGTGATCGCGGATCACCATCTCCGGCGCGGCACGGCCGCGAGTTTCTACAGTGGATCACGCTGGTGGTGCAAGGAAGAAGCGGCGTAACATGTTCTTCTAGCGAGAATATATTAAAACTGCCGGTTCGGATTTGAATGTCTAGGCTTTGACCTCACTGCTTCACAATGAAAAGATGCTGTATTGTGAAGGAAAGTTTTCACAGAGAATCTCGCATTCTATACAGTTCCTTTTTCTAGCTTTTTGCGAGGAAGTCAGGTGGTCTGTTCGTAGGAAACTAAATGCCGGAGAGCTGAGCTGGGGACCATGGGGGAATGGACCGTGGCATCACTCGGCGGATCCAGGAACTCGACGAAGGGTATCTGGGAAGATTTCTGTTGTGACCCCTTCAGGTTGTGAAAAGTGATTTGGGGAAGCCATGGTCCTGGAGTCGGGGATTGACAACTGTGGGGAGAGATCTAATTCGTAGAACCCACAGAACTACCAGCTTTCTGTCAAGTCGATTGAGACGACGAGGTTCCAAATAGGCTCTGCGCGCCGTTGCGCTGTGCGTTCTTTAGAGGGGATCGGGTGCATGCCAGGAGCCTGGGCCATCTACGTTTTGACTAGGGTCTTCTTTCGACAGAGTTCAGTGATGGATCTTGTGGCACATTCGTATTGGATATCCGTTCGTAGTGCGTTGCTCCGAGTTTTCGTAGTGCTATCTTTGTCCAGGTGCGCGGGAGAGGCAAGTTGACTCTCAATAGTTGGCGGCGCCTTCGTTTGGATGTACCTTACAGTGATTGGCAGAATTGGAAAAGTGGAGGTGAGCAAGATTCTCACTGCTCTCTGCCTACATAAGCAACGCTTCGACCCCTGTGATGACTCTACAGTCCCTGACGGACAATCAATCGGGTCTCCGTTGGCCTGTGCTGTCACAGAACATTCCTGCGTCCCAGTTCATACAGGTGAGTGAATGTGGTGCTTTGACTTCTCAAAACGGACGCTGTCATCTTTGCTCCATGTCTGTACTATGTAGTTGACAGGAGACCCACTTGTGAAGACAAGATGGTATTTCCTGGCGTGTAGTGTTTCATTTCTGCTGCAGTAGATTTCTGACTCTGAAGTCTTCTTAAACGTAAGTCCATTGTGCCAAAGTCTCTTCATGTCTAGGTCTCCAGTTTGATGGTTGTGTGCACTGCTCCCACTGGAGTAAGCGATTTGCTTGCTTCTTCATTGGTCGAGGTATTGCAGTGATTATGAAAGACAACAGGTCGCTTAATTTACGTACGCGAATATGGAAAACATGATGGATTTCACTCCCTGTCAAAGTTGGATCTGTCTGCGAGTGCGAGGAACTGCGCCTTGTGTGGCATTGTCCTTCAACTTTGTAAATTGGAGACTACTGCTCGACATGTTGCGATTTTACGTATGTTCACTAGTCGTACGTGTGGGGTACTCCTCATATGGTCTTGTTTGCAACTGATTTGGTTAGTTATCATCGTCATTCATCAGCACTCCCTACAGACCATTTTCGTACCTTTTCGAGCCAAACGGAGACCACACATTGTACAGCTCCAATAATAGTTTCTAGAATAAATCCGTCCCTCACTGATACTACGATGCAGATGTCTTCCTGGATATGTTCGTTGAAAGTAACAATGATGTTGTACAGGCTGTTGTATGAACAGGAGCTGACTCTCATTTGAGTTAGTAAGGAAGCGGAGAAGAAACACTTGACACAAGACGCCGACACAATGACAGGAGCTGGGGAGATTCTCAATTCTCTTGACAAAGCCAAGACACAATGGTACCATTTCACAACAATTATCATTGCAGGAATGGGATTTTTCACCGACGCTTACGATCTATTTTGCATTTCGACTGTCACTAGGCTTCTTGGACGCCTGTACTACTATGATCCCCTGTCAAAGACGCCCGGGGTGCTTCCTGCCAATGTATCTGCTGCTGTGAACGGTGTGGCGCTTTGCGGTACTTTTGTAGGGCAGCTCTTATTTGGATGGCTCGGTGATAGGCTCGGACGCAAGAGGGTGTATGGGTGGACACTTCTTCTTATGATCCTCACCTCCCTTGCTTCTGCCATGTCATTTGGGAGCTCTGCAAAAGCTGTGATGAGCACACTCTGCTTCTTCCGCTTCTGGCTGGGAGTAGGGATCGGAGGCGACTACCCTCTATCTGCTACGATCATGTCGGAGTATGCGAATCAGAAGACTCGGGGTACATTCATTGCAGCCGTTTTTGCGATGCAAGGCATGGGTATTCTGGGTGGTGCAACCATTTCCATCATCATCTCGTCCATGTTCCGGAGCGCTATAGACAGCCCATCCTTCATGGTCAACCCAGTTGATTCAACGCCACGCCAAGCAGATTTCGTGTGGAGAATCGTCCTCGCACTAGGAGCTATACCTGCAGCTCTGACTTTTTACTACCGAATGAAGATGCCCGAGACAGCCCGTTACACTGCACTTGTGGCGAAGGACAACAAGCAGGCTGCTCTTGACATGGGCCGAGTTCTGCAAGTGGACTTCACCGGCGTCATTGATGTCACCACTGCAGTATCCGGAGGTGGTAACTACCTGTAACACTGCACTCCTTCGCAGTTATCAATAACCATTCCTAATTCTTCTTTGAATACGAAAATACTGCATTAATGATCACCTTGTCTTTCCTGTTATGCTACGTCGACCTTTACATCTGCAATCCCGCTAACATCTGACTGTCGAATAGTTGCAGGGCCGGAGTATGGACTTTTTTCGAAACAGTTCTTGAAACGACACGGTCTTGAGCTTCTCGGATGCTCAAGCACATGGTTTCTGCTGGATATAGCCTTCTACTCTCAGAATCTCTTCCAGAAGGATATCTTCTCCTCCATCGGTTGGCTTCCTGCTGCGAAGACAATGAGCGCTTTGGAGGAGGTCTTCAGAGTATCTCGTGCACAAGCTTTGATCGCCTTGGTGTCCACTGTACCAGGCTACTGGGTGACGGTAGCATTGGTTGACGTCATCGGCCGCTGGGTCATCCAAATGATCGGCTTCTTCTTCATGACGCTTTTCATGTTCGTCTTAACTTTCCAGTACTACAGTCTTCGAGGATCTCCTTGCAAGAATGATCCATCCCTGTTCTGCGGAGGAAATCACACGGCGTTCCTCTCTTTGTACGCACTCACGTTCTTTTTCGCCAACTTCGGGCCCAATGTGACAACGTTCATCATCCCAGCTGAGCTCTTCCCTGCAAGGCTAAGGTCAACTTGCCACGGTATTTCAGCTGCAGCAGGGAAGGCTGGCGCTATTGTAGGTGCGTTCGGCTTCTTGTATGCTGCTCAGAATCAAACTGAGGGGAAACAAGACAAAGGCTACCCGACGGGTATCGGTTTGAAGAACTCGTTTCTGTTGCTGTCAGTAATCAACGCTGCTGGACTTTTCATGACCTTCTTCGTCCCTGAAACAAAAGGACGCTCTTTAGAAGAACTGTCGGGGGAGAACAATTCGGATAAACAACAGGCTCCTTACAGCTCTTCATACATGGCGGATAAACAAACGGGTTCTTACACCGAATCAGGACGATACTAGATAATAAAACTTCGACAATTTTTAGTCACGTAGTATCAACGTGTCTCTCTTGGTGAAAAAATCCAGGACAGCAGCCGTGTTGGTTCGATTTTCTTCCGTTATCATTCTTACAAATTCTTTAGTAGATGCCCTAGCTGTTGTTTAGCCATATTTTCAAAGCTGCACTGATTGCGTTGGCGTCTCTACTTGTACATAATATGTTTTCAACCAAAAAAACTAGTTTAGAGTGCACACACGGTGTGGATGAAACTTTGCCTGTGAACCTCCTGTAAATGCGGTGCCGTGTATTGTTTGTTGCAACGAGAGCGTGAGATTTTCTGATGAAGAGTGCAATCTAGTGGAATGCTTCGGTCTCCGATCACGGATCTTGAGTTGGCCGCTGCCAATGTGATGTTAACTTGTAGGTTTGAATCAATAGTTGGATGTAAATTGACGAGCCTAAGATAGTATTCTTGAGACGCTGGTCTCAGACAATACAAATTTCAATTATGTATCAATCGAACAAATGCAGTTTCCTTCATGCACTCTGCATTCGCTTTGAAGAATCCTCGACCATACCCAATCGAACTTCTCCGATTGGTGAAAGCTCAAACAACTCAATCTATGTAGATTGCTCAAGAACAGACATAGCCGGTGGCCAAAATCGTTGAGAAAGTACCGTTCAGTCATCTGCCTTCCAAATAGAACTGGCAATCAAATATCTACGCCGTTGTTGTAGCGAAGCCTGGTAATTTGCACCTCACAAAATTAGATCTCTTGGGTACTTTGATCACAGGTTTGACATACTTTACAGCGGCATAATATCAAGTTAGTTCTCACACTGACGACTCGTGGTTTCTCTAGGAACGACCTAATGAGAGCAGGTTCGAGAGATTGTGAACACACACCGCTTTGGCCGGGAAACTGCAGGTAGAGCGATCCATTCTCAGGTGGAGTTAATTATTCTTCTTTTATTGCTGAAATCGGGAACTTGGTCGCATTGACGGTTAACTAATGAATTCGGTGATATTTCATGATTTTCGAGAAAACATGAGGACTCCGGTGAATAGCATCATTCCTGCCTCATGCGAATCCTGTTTCATTACCGAAAACTCTCCAGACTTGGGAGCATAGAATTCTTGTGATGTCCGAATGGTTACATGCACCTCTTCACCTGCCACATCTTTCCTGGGATTGCAAGCGGTACATAAAGGTTCAAAGGACAGACTTGTTAACTCTTCATGTCTGTTCACCTTCTTCAGAGGGACTGGCTGAAGCTTCAATATGTTTCCTTCGACTCCATGCTACACCTTGACTAAATTTAATATTCACTCCGAAAATGAAAAGACTTGTTAGGGTTTTACGCGCACCTTGTAGTTGTGAGAAGTATGTTCACACTTTCGCATGCAGATTAAGCATCAAACATAGAACTTATGCGACTGCAAAAGCTGACATCCATCACGACTATTCCCTTTGAGCAATTCATAGACTTGAAGGAGCTCAAACAGTCCAAGTCACAAGTGATATTTCCTATTTTAGAGAATTTAATAAATCTTGTATCCGTTTCTCGATTCACGAATACTGCGCCGCCTGCTAGGCGACTTGGCGAAAAACAAAGACCAAAGAAAGGTGACAGAGTTTAAATTTGGATGCAAACTCGAGGGCGTGGACCGTCGAGGGGGAGGGGTAGGAACAAAGCAAAGAGTCGTAGTGCTGACTCCAACCATGGGGCTTCTGATGCCCGCAAAGTGGCCAAATTTTGTTTCTGTATCTCGGCAATTTACATCGCGTACAACTTCCAAGGGAGGATACAGGAAAAACTGTGAGTCATAACAAATATTCGTGAAATCAATGTTATACAAAAGAAACACAAATGATCTGTATGATAATTTCCGACTGACCTCACACGGTGCCTTGTATGCAGATCAACTACGACTGGAATCGAAAAGCAGCGATTTGATAATCTCACCTTTCTCAACTTGGCGCAGTGCTTCGCATGCTTCATCTGGTCTTTCCTCGGTGAGTACTTAGTTGGTCCTACTCATCTATAATCGGTGCACTGGTTCAGTTCCCTAGAACGAATTCCTCATATTGGAGGGCTATGTGGGGACTGCAGTGCTAAAGATATGGCCGGGGGAGGCAGGGCCAAAAGCTCCTATTTCAGTGTACTGGGCATGCAGCATTTCCAATACAATTGGCCCTGCATGTGGCATGCTTGCGTTGAAATACATCGGCCACCCTGCTCAGGTATGTGTAGTTGGCGAATATGTGAGACTCAAGTTGGTGAGCACAGTATTTGCAACATTCCAAGTATGCAAAGAGATTCAATAAAAGATTCTAGATACTATCAAACCCTAACGAAATCTGTTTGATTGTACAAATCCACAGGTGCTGTCAAAGTCCTCGAAAATGATTCCAGGTACCAACTCTTACGCTCTTGGTCGAGAAATTCGTTCCCTCACTGATTCGTAAGTATCCAGTTGGCTGGATACAGGAGAACTTACTCGGATGCGTGAACTGGTGTGAATTTGTGACAGTAATGCTGATAGGAGCAGTCGTGTACGGGGTCCCTTACTCGCGTCAAGAGTATCTCTGCACTTTCACCGTGGCCGCTGGCATGACGCTATTCGCCCTTCAGGTATCACATCCAAATCGTCCTTCAAGCTCGATTCATGCGTTCATCTCCCACACGCATGCATACTAAAAAAAACTTTCATGTACAAATTTGTGCAGAGCTCAAGTAAGCGAGGAATATTCGCTGGTCCGAAAGCACTATTCGGGTACGCTCTGTGTTTGCTAGATCTTGGGTTGGACGGCTACACCAACGCCTCACAAGATGCCCTAACAACCAGGTTCTCACGCTCTTCCTAGTCCACCCGATCCTTGTGACTCCGTCCTTCGAAGACTGGTCACACTGGTCACGAACTGCAAGTAGGGGAACCTGAAAGCACGTCCACTGCCGGCTCACAGAGTGTAGACCGTAATTGCCACAGGTACCGCAAGGTGGACGCATGGCACTTAATGATGGGGACGAACCTGTGGAGCGCAGCATACACGGCACTGTTCATGTTTTTGGTTCCAGGTGGCGGTGGGTACGACGCAGTGCGATTCTACATGCACCACCCCGATGCAGCTCTAGACGTCTTGATGTTTTGCTTCTGCGGAGCCATCGGCCAGTATTTCATTTTCCTCACCATTAGCCGATACGGCGCTTTGACCAATGCCACCATCACCAGTACACGGAAGGTTGTGACCATTCTCATGTCCTCGATTTGGAACGGGAGTCCGCTGTCCGCTCAGCAATGGGGCGGCGTGGTCTTGGTGTTCGCAGGCCTCTCATACCAAATCTGGTGTCAGTACAAAAACAAGAAGGCATGCAAAGCGGCGAAACTTGTCCGATCTGCGAGCCCTGCTAGGTTCAGAGGCAGTAAGACGCGGCGAAAATGCAAATAACCAAACTTGATCCCACGTTATCCCATGCACTGTGTATTGATCCATCTTTAATCCATTGTTCCTCGCACCCTTCGTCTCCGCTTCCACAGCCTGGTCTCAGCTCCACCAAAATGAGATAGTGTAGCTGTCGGTACTCACCGACTGTCGGTGGTCGCTTGTCGGTATTCGTGTGTTGGTACTTAAGTGTCGATACGAAGATGCGGCGTCTTAAGGAATGTCGATGTGTCATGGTTAAACAAACTCCTATTTATCTTATTATGGTCTTTTTTAATAAGATGAATATGGAGTAGTTTGGAGAAAGAGGACGAGATTGTGCATAAATTGATAGGAACAATACAATGTTACTTGAGAAGAAGTGAGGGAAGTATTGTTGGGATAGAAGTTAAATAAAAAATGAACTCGAATGAGAATACCGTCTTACCATACAGAATCACTACAGTTAGAACATTTGTTTTAAGTTTTCATATTTTTTTCTTCGTGTGTAGCATACTTCTGTGGGTAAATTCCATGGAATTTGTAGTGCAGGAATATTAAATGTTATGTAATTTACCAAATTTTGAGTGATTTGGAGAGACTTATCTCAATGGAGCATTTTACAACTTGGTGGGTATTAATGACTTTATGATATTATTTTGAACTTGTTGCTGTAACAAACTTTTAAGCATTATGTTACAAACTATTAAATATAAATAAGACATAATTTTGTAGTTTGATACAATTATCATTAAATGATATGTATAATTAATTTTTAAAAATATATCAAAACTTAAAAACTTGATTTTATGAAATCAAAATATGATAATTTGCTAAGATAGAAAATATTGTGCATATATAAGATTAAACAAAAGAAATAACAAAAATAAAGATATTGTAAGTTTTTTCTTTATATTTTTTATTTATAAGATCAAAATATATGTCTAAATATGTAATATTTTTTGTGCACAAACTACTTATTATAGCTTTTTGAATAAAGTTTAACAACCAAGATTTTAGAAGATGCTTTTTATAAAGATTTATTGATTAAACTTCTAATTTTTTGTAAAAAATAATGATAATATTTTTCATGATTCAACCAAATCTTTGAAAAGTAAAAAATCATGACATCAAAAAATAGAAAATTATTGATTGTGCTATGGAATCTGTTTTTACACTGGTAAAACCTATAACTTTAAGTATTTTAGAACATTTTCTTAATACTAAAATAATACTGAGAAAATATTTTAAATTTTGCAAAGTATTCTAGTAATTATCATGTTTTAAATTGATTTATGTATGTTTAAATTAACATTGTTACTAATAGTAGAATGTAATAGCTATCTTTAAATTTGATTTGTATTGATACTTTTATAATTGATTGTAAATATGATTTAAATCTTGTATATTTATTTTTTCAGTTTTAATCACCAAATAATATTTTCTTCAAGGTTATATATTTTTAAATGTCATTCATTTATATGTTTATTGAAGTGCACAGATATACATATATATATATATATATATATATATATACACTATTTGTTCAAAACAAAAAAAAGTATCACAAAACTTTATGTGACATACAAATGATTGACATTTATAAAACATTGATCATATACTTACAGAGTATTAAAGCAAATACATTAGCTCGAATAAATGAATAAAATTTCACTTCAAATTACTGAAGAACAGTGATGAAATACAGAAGCAAAAAATGATGCCAATCGCATGAGGATGAAATACATGCAAAATACAATGTCAGCCTAATTCTGAAGCAATTCAGATAGTTGTAAGTATACAACACAATAGTTGAATGCAAAACAAATTCATAATAGCAAACGACTACGATAGCAATTCTTATTCAGTATGAGCATAAGCCATATTAACATGTAGCTGTTATGTACAAATGCTGTGTTCAATCTGTACAAATGGCACAATATAATTTTTATGAATACATTTTGATGATGATACTAGGGATCCGTAGAATGCAAGTAATACCTATACCTATATTCATCCTTGAGACCTTCGAACAACTTTGTGGAAATGCATACTGCATTTTGGTTGGTGAGCCACTAAGGCTGCCGCCAGGATGCAGTCGAAACCTGGGTTACTGTTTTCAACTTTATGGGTCTTGAATCTGATCTGTGCAAGATGCTGTAACCCGTTTCTGAATGTGGCGATGCTTCAACCAGGCATTCAGCTGACTGCCATTCTGACGGCTTACTACGCTAAGTTACAGGAATTTGACTTCCGCTGTAACAATTCATCCGAAGTGACAAATGCTTGGATACTTCACAGTTCCGCTTGAAAACTACCGACAGCCATTTTTCATATGAATGTCACAGTCTAAGAGTTTTGGTATGCAGGGAGCTAGGACTCTATTTTAACATAAAGTGACAGTTTCGTAAGGAAAATTGTGGGCACCCTTTGGATTTTGCAGTATCGGCAGACCCTCCTTTCCAGCACAATTCTCAACTGTGCTGTGCCATAGCTTATGGCGCTTACAGGAACCTCGTTCACCAGAATACTGTTGACAAAACACAAGTTGTCAGATACAACGATATTGCAGCAGAGAATCACTTTCGCGGGTACAAACTTCCACATTAATAGAGCAGAAAACACTACCTATCTACCTATCCATTTATCTCTATATATATATATATATATATATATATGGAGAAATCGACAGGGGCTTACGGTGCAGAGCTGGTGGAAGTAGACTTCTTGCGCAGAGTGATCGAGCACCTTCATTCCTCACATACACCTGATGTCGTTGCATTCTCTGAAAATTCTTGTCGAACTCGAATTGTCCTTTATGAATATTATATAATACTTGTTTCGAGCATTTATGCAAGAATCATCATGCTCAGCCGCCACTGTTCACCATCTGATGTCGTTTTATACACAAGGAGTGATCTTCTGCATTCCACATCAAGATGCAGAACACAATACATTTTGTTCTTGTAAACCCCTTCCGCACAGAGCATTAGAGGAACAGATCGATGTTCTTTTTGTCTTCATGCGGTACCACAGCAATTTCGCGATAGTGGATTAAAGATGCTGATATGTACGACGTAGAATCACACGCTCCGTGAAGGTTAAAAGATCCCACTTCCACTTTTCGAATGTAATCGCTTAACCCCTGCAAGCGGATTACTTATCCATAAGAACTTACTGATCCTTGCTATTATACGGACATGCAGCTCTCTAGGAACAGAATCTTGACAAGTTACAAAACACCTCGAAGCATAGAACTCAAAAGAAGCGGCAAGTCTGTGACCAAGCACTGCATAAGCTCCCAATATCAGTTCACCATTTAAACGTCGACCCTTGTATTCCTCCAGGAATACCAACAGCTTTGAGACGAAGTGAACAGGAAAGCCAAAAGAAACTTACCCCAGTTTTAAATAAGTGAAAGCCTCAGTGCTTTGTAATGATGTCGATGAGGTCCTACGTTAGTTGCTCGATGCTTGCGTACGTCATTACAGTCAACCAAGTTCATGTCATCCGAACAGTATTCTTGCAGTATTTGTAACCCTTCTACACTTCTAATGTCAAAGCTTCCACAACTTCTGAAAGAATCAATCCTTTGAGAACTTCCAAGTGCAGCAACAGGAGGCTTCGCAACCATCTTTGTGCTCGGAAGCGAGGAATGCCTACGGATTCTGCTGCATACCGTTCCGAATAATTTCGTCAAGTCTTCTGGTAGCCAGGAGGCGTCTGATATTGGCGCACAAGATATATCCACCTTGTCATCCTGGCATGTCAACAGACGTCCAATGGATAAGAAAAGAATGTCCTGAACCGGAAGCTACATCAACAATGTTGTACATGTTTAATGAAGCAATTCAATCTAAACGAAAAACATAACACAATCACCCCACATGCATGCATACACATAAAACATAAAATAAAATAAATTACATAAAGAATAAAAACAAAAAGAACAACTAAGTGCAGTAAAATTGAAGTGAAATCAAAATTAGATCAGAATCTCGGTGGAATGAACTGTTTCATCGTATATGGATAGAATTTTCTTGTCCCTGCAGTTAAGGGGCTTGAAATATTCCAACAACTTTATGGAAGTGAAAGAGATGTTACGCAGGGATTAAGGGGCAGAAAAATCAAACCTACCTTATCATAGTCGTAGACATCTTCAGTTCCAGATCGAAGTTTTGATGAGTCCATGTTCTCTACCGTAGGAGTACTTTGTGCGATGTCATAGCCCTTAGGCAAAGGCTGCTGTGCTTGTATGGGCTTCACTTTGCACGTTTGATTTGACGGTGTAGATGAAAGCTTAATCTTAGCATAACGCTTAGCATTCTCCGAGAAGTTATTGACATTAGATAGGCGGTGTTGAACAGTACCTTTGGAATGCGTAGATATTTGGTCGGACGGCTTATTGAGTTTGATGGGAGAAAGAGACCTGCAATTAACAAGATCGTGTGTCCTTTGTTGTTCCTCACTCAGACTCAATTCCTTGAAGTTTTCCGTGTCTTCAGTTGGAGACAATTTGAAAGGCGTCACCAACCGATCTTTACTTCCCAGCTCCACAATAGGGGTGAATGGTGAGTTGTTACCATACTGAAATCTTAGTTGCGAGGCTTTAGCTGGATCCATGCTTGATACCATGCGCTTAATAGAGGCAATGGGCTTATCTTCAAACACTGGAGACATAGTTGAAGACGGTGAACATTCGATTTGCACTTCTCTGTTACTGGAAGAACGTGTATAGTAGGGAATTTCCCCAGACTCCGATATCGGGGAAGCAAGCGGTGGCGAGCGACTATGGAGACCTTTCCTCCTCAAATCCCTATTTGTACAATAGTTCACTTTCTCATTTAGCAGTGTAACTGGTGGTGACCTATGAGACAGATACCTGCTCTTTACTTGCTTCACATGTGTGGATTTCTTGACGGCAGCATTCGTTGGTTTGTCGGAAGCTACAGGAGAAGAGGGCGTAGCTGATAGTCTTGCTTTTCCTCCATTTTTTGGTGCAGATAGTCTTTCAAAGACGTCTCCACCACCCGTATTTTTCCTCACTGGAGAAGATTTAACTAAGCTGGTATCCAGGCATTTTGTATGCGACTTCCGGACGTCAGATGGGAGAGATTGAGTCTTTTGGTGGTTTGGCTTCTTTCTTGAGGGCTTTCCAACTGCAAGCGACTCGGATGAGGAGGAACCTTTTCTGGCCACTCTTTTTCTGTTCAATACTTGTGGAGGTGTCCTTTCTGGTTCATCATGCACGGGCGAAGAGTCTATGGAGAGGGGTAACGGAGATGCAGAAGACATAGGTGAGGTCATGCTTCCACCATGCATAGGTGGAGGAGAAGACGAAGCGAAAGGTCTCCATTCAGGAGTTGTAACCGGTGTCGACAATGGCGACATGGGGACCATTGGTGTCGTTGGCTGAGATGTGTATACTGTCCACAGTGGATCAGATACTTCAGATTCTGGGATCTCAATCTCCAAAGCAGTGGGTTCCTCGGAAACGGAGACAATTTCTTCTTCACCGTCTAGTCGGAATGACCTGCATAATCCAGGTTCAATTTGTTCCTGTATCTCCCGGCGCAAATGTACAGCGTGCTCCTCAAGGAAAACGACCTCTTCTTCCAAAACAGCAACTTCAAATAGCAGCTGTCTCATCTGCGCATCAGACAAGTGAACGACAGGACCTAAGCTTCAAAATACAACCGAAGGATACTAAGATTTTCGGACCGACTGAAACTATAAAACGAAGTTTGAGATATATGCAGACAAAGTCCAGAAACATAGTGGGAAACGATCTAGCAAAAGAAATCATTTCTAATACGGACCTCGGCAGGAATGTATCCAGGAATTTGAGGCAAAGAGCCCGGAGACCTTCGCAAGCAACCCTTCAGAGCTTCCCGCAACTTCATTTCATGCGTTAGCTTCTCCTTCAAACTAGCCACCTGAATGAACAATTTGACACAGTTGTTGAATATAATCATCAAGTAATGCACACAAATATGTTTCACAACGAACATGGGCAGGCTACTGTCGGAGTTTTTCAATCAACAAACACGACATACTAACAAGTCTAAAGAATGAAAGCTTGAAGCATACTCGGATCGTCTACACTCTGGTGATGTCCAACATTTCAACATTACCTCTTGCTCCAAAGCAGATCGTCGATCATTGAGATCTGGTAGCTTTTCATTGGGTTTGACCTTAATATCATAATGATGAGCCTGAGGATCAAAAAAGAAAAGATTGGTTACGCAAGACCTTCACTGATAGTAACGTAAGAGACGTAAAAGAAGAGTAAAGAAACTGTTTGTTGCAACATAACCCAACCAGTCCAATATAGAACTTCTAGGAAGAGTATTTCAAACCTCTGATAAAGTTAGAACCCACGCTTTCTATTCAACACGTCGGCTTGAGGGACACTACTACGGTCACCTCTTTCCCATTCAAACTCTTAAATGAAGAAGAGAACATAAAGAATCACCTGGGCAACGTTAGTAACCGTTGTTGGAGACAGCAGAACCAGAGGCACTTTACACATGATTTTCTGCATTGATCCTTTCACATAGGTTCTGCGACGTCCAATAAGTAATGCTCAGAAACTGAATGAAATCTTACCGACTCGGTGGTAACTAATGGAAAACGAAACCCAAGGTGAGGTCATTAATATTTCTCAATGTTAATGATAGATGGTTTGGAGATATCGATGGAACTGTGAAATAAACTCCTAATTACAATCGAGTTTAAATCTCCCCTATTGTAAGTGAGCTTTGTGCATCTGCTCGTACAGTTGATAGTCAATTACTGACTTGGCAACTTAGAGAGTAACCCAAAATTACCGAATTCAATCAGCCTTTCACTACCATTCGGGTGCCTCGAATTTGACCTCCTCCAAGAACTACGGACACTATTGCAATAACCCAGACATTTCGAACAAAACATAGCATGCTACACCGACGGCATATTTTAACCCGCACACCTGAATAGTCAAGTTCCTGATTGGGTCATTCTACAGCCTACTGATCTCAAGATTTGACAAGCTAAGTGCTCTTCAAAAGGCGTTATCATTCTATCATCAATGCCGTGCGGCTTGCTGTTCTTGTTGAAGCAGGACAAGACACAATGTCTTTTCCTGATACCGAGGGATGTTAAATATGAAACTCTCTGATTCCCTCAGCTGAAAAAAGTTGCAGCACTTGCGATATTTTGCAACAAGACCTACCTGGCACAATCCCTGCTTATGTCCTTGAGATTGTCCTCATTAGTTTCAAAGCGCCATGAATGTCCTGATTCACGATGTAAGCACCAGTCAATGTTTAGATTTTCAAACTTCGCAAACTCGAACTAACCAAAATTCCTCAAGCATACTAGCACAGTTGATGCGGAAAATATCGTTCATCCCTCCACTTTCACAAATTTGAGTACATGATCTCCTATCCTGGGCGACAAAAATGTAAGAAGTGCAGGATTCCGAAAGTATAGAAAAAGAGCTCATCATTTGTAAGATTAGTAAACCTACAAGACAACTGAGGTTGCAAAAATATGTACTGAATACTAATCAATATGGTTATTTTACTTTTTGTCGTTGTAAGGAATCCAAAGAAGTCGACAGACTGCTCGTGCCACAAAACGAGATTCGTGACTTATTCTTCGCTGCTAACTGAAGAGATACATTAGCAAAGACAGGTGGATGGAAGCGAATAGTGAACTCTTCGAACAAAACTTGCAAAAGTTCTCATTTACCACAGAAATCTTTGAATACTCCTCGATTGAAATGCACTCAGCTAGGCTCTATTCGTGAGAGGAATAGCTGCGCAGTGAAGTTGCGCATCACGCCTAGGCGAACGAATTCTTGTTGCTACCACCCATGAACAGCTCCAATTACGTATGTTCTAAGTGCAAGCGGGGTACTTAAATAGCTTGAAGGTTTTTATCTTCAGACGAGGACTTCTATCTAATCCTTACAATGAGAAGAACGACTCGAGGATTATCGACAGTTAGCATTCGCCATGATCGCAAGGTAGTGGGAAGAGAGAGCGGAATGAGAGGTACCCCTTCAGACATTCCACACGCTTGGCATCTTGAGGACAATGCGAAGAAGCCAGCAATGACTCGAAGAGTTCACTCTTTCTAAGCTGAGGAGCTTCCCTGATATATTCCGCGTGAACCACATCAGGTTCCAATTCATGGATGTGTGGTTTTACTATCTCAACACGGCGGTGCATGCAAACGGGCAGGGCTCTCTGGCACAACTGTCCGTATCGAATAAGAATTTGAAGAAATGTCGTCAACTGCGCGGCGGCAGAGCAAAGAGCTAGGGTGTAGTCAATGAGAGGAGAAGCAGTCCTTCATTATCGTTTTATGGAAGTGGAACAATTCTGCTCTATCGCCTGCTCATCACCAAAATGGTGCACAAATAGAGACGCCTCGAGCACAAGAACCTTTCCACGATCAGGACAAACGATCCAAGGAAGATTCAGTTTCCCTGCATAATGAGGATCGTGATTCTCAAGCCAATAATCTTTACAAGACGATTAATCCTGGATGAGCTCAATGCAAGAAACACTTTTCACTCAAATCGTGCAGGAGATGGCAACAATGTCTCAGGTCTCAAGAACCATTCAGAGGATTCGAAAACCTCGCAGCTGCGCTCTAACAACAATTCACCAGGATTTCTATCATCAGTGCGACGCCTACCTCAATCTTCGTCAGAGACGAGTCTTGCACCTCCAATAACGCTACACTCCTCTATCTCTCTTGTTAGCTCTCTCTCTCACACTAATCCACCTCTCGCTCGACTGCTCACCACTACATCACCTCTCCACACAATCCAACTCCAGGGAACTACACATCCGCACTTCTGAAACGAAGCATGAAAATAAACCTCCTGGCCTCTACAGACCTCGTCACACCGCGCCAAGAACCGCAAGCAGACAAACTTTTACGTCTCGACCAAGTTGGTTGAAAAACGCCCCCTGAAAAGACGTGCCGCGCGACCAAAGCAGGTGACACAAATAATAGCATTGGCGTTGGAAGTCTTCACGACTCCAATACACTCCAAAAAACAAAGACGACCGGCCATGTCAACCGTGGACCTGTTTACGGTGGAGCCAAATGCGCAGAGAACTGCGGATCCCTCCCCTTGCCACCCTCCCTTCTCACTGGAGAGGAGCCATTTCAAATTTCACTCGCTGTGAAAAAGTCTTCACAGCGCGGAGAAAAAAACTACTGGAAAACAATTTCACTCAGCACCTTCCTCCCTTGCATCAGCCACGCTCACCACAACAGAATCACGCGTAGGCTCACACGATCCGAGAATCCCAATCGAAGGATATCATCAATGGGGAGAACTCGACGCAGCTCACGGAATTATTTACTTGCTCGTTTACTGCGCGGATGCTTTTGTTCGATTCCCTGCAGCAGCTCGAAGCACGCATTGCTCGTCTTCGTGCTTTCATCGCAATGGTGTCCACTTCGACGACGGTGAACAAAGCCACGAAGCCCATTTTCCTTCAGGGTTCACCAAATCCTAATTCTTCGTCTTCTTTCCTTACGTTTTTTCCGATGGTGGCTCTAATTGCATACCAATGAACTCCCCAATCTTCATTAACCAATGGGATGATACTTATGTGCACAAAAAGAGTTTGATTAAGGAATGGATTAGTTCATATGTTTGAAGTGATTTTTGGGTTTAGGAATGTCACAATATGTGATTAGATAATAGAGGGTTTTCTATTTATTGCCTTGTAAATCAAAGGCAGTAAGTAGACGCAACAACAATGTGGACTTTGCCCAAATTCTTTCTAAATTGAAGGTCAATTTCAAATATTTGTCTTCTAGGAATTCTTGGTATCCAATATGCTTTTGTTTGACGATAAATTCTTGGTATCCAATAGTGTGTAGTGTCTACTAATAGTGTATATTTTTTTGGTAAGTAATGAAAAATAGACATCTCTAAGTCTTGTACACAGAAATGTCAAATACTACATTTAACATACAAGTAGCCCTACAATGCACGTGAATGTAGTTAAATAGTAATTTAATCATATTCATATACTTTTTTTAATCAAATGTTTTGTATTCTATTTGAGAATTCGCTCCTATAATTGTTCGTACTCCAGTGTAACAATGGGTGCGTTTTCAGTTTAAAATAAGAAATAAAAACAGAATAATAATCGATTTTATGTTATTTCAAAAAGATCTGATACTATATCGAGACATGAGAAGGGGCCAACTCAGCATTGACCCCTCCAGCTGGGCAAATTGGAGCATCCAGGTCAGCAGGCGCGGAATATACCCACAATACCGCATATTACTGTATATACCTAATATTCCGTTTTGCTTTGTATGATTAGCTGCCTCATGACAGGTTTGGATCATGTAATCTAACCCCTCTAAATTGAACGGGAATCACTTCCTCTACCAAAAATTAACAAACTTAGCAATTGTTAATTTTGAGCTGGTGCTCGATTTTTAAAATAGCTAGGAAAATCTTAATAAAGTTAATAATAATCCCTTGGGATTTATTATTACCATTATTCTATATTATCTCATGGCATTCGACTAGTTCTCTTCCTCTTCTTCTTCTTTTTGCTGTGGTGTTGCTTTTCATTGATTTCACATTTGCCACGATTCAAGAGGACATTTAGGGATACTTCGGAAAACACTCATGCCAATAAGATGGTATGAAACTTTAACTTTCTGGCAAAAAAAAACTTTTGATCAGCAAAGCTTACGGAGTGTTGCTGCTTGGGAACGAAGCGGGGGGACGGGAACGTATAGGGAACGTGGAGCATGTTCCCCTGCACCTGAAAAGAGGCCCTCGGTTTTGGCGAAGGCGGGTGACCCCGAGAAATGAGAGGGCCAGTGTGGATGATCTACTGGTGACCGGAGACTAGAACCCGCTTTCCACTTTCCCCCCTATTGATGCCGTTTTATATAGAGTGTGGTTCTATAGTATGGGTCCATGGGCCAGGAGACCTGGCCCATGGACCCGCCAAAAAGATTCCGGCATTGCGTGGCCAGGGAGGGTTGGGGAGAGCGGGAAACTGCTTCCGAATCTCCAGACTACCGCGGTAGAACGAAGCGCGGGGAACTATGGGGAACGACAGGAGAACGGGAGGTGAAATGTCCAACTCAGAATTGGGCTCCCCGACCCATAACTGCCAACTTTAGTTATCCTTTTACTTTTTGCCATTCCCCCTTCTTTTCCTTTTGTCATACTTTCCTTTTGGCTTTTTCTGTTATATGTGCTTGAATTGCTGATGCCTTGACAGTCGGAGCATTCATGACATGTTGCCTTTTGCAAAGCTCACATCTTCCTCTCTTTCTGAGTTGTGGGCAGATATCTCTATATCCCTGGTAAATGTATGTGATACATATGTGTATGTAGTTTAAATAGTGTTCAATTTCTTAAAAAAATCCGGATCTCCAATCAAGGATCTATTTCAACATTCTCGCATTATTTCCTAAATGTGTTTCAAGGATGGGGTTGGAATATGTAAAGCCCATCTGAATTCATATTCAACTTTTTGCAAACTATAACTTGGTAAATTTTGAATCATGCATGCATAGTGCAATTTGTTAGAAATCAAGTATTTTCCCATTACATTCATGTTTTAATAAACATCATCAATCTTCTGTTATAAAGTTTTGGAGAAAAATTGCACACACCTCTATGTTTGGGATGAGGGAATAACTGTTGATGTTAATATCATTTCAGTCATTAAGCATAAAAATGTGATTTGGATCTTTGAATTATGGAGTGTGTAAACTCATAGCATTCAGTTTTGAAGTATATTGGACAATTAATGTAATTGATTAGATACAAATTTGAAAACATCACTATTATCATTCTATGAGTGTACACAGAGCATACTTTTGCTATAATACCCATTTTAATATTTTTGTTCAATTTAGGGTACATTCAAAGCTTGTCATATGACAGAACAAATGTAATTATTTGACACACAAAAGTTAGGTTCAATTCATGAAATTTAATTTGAAATATTATGAATAAAAAACGTTTGATTGATTGTTTATTTGTTTTTTAAGTCAAAAGGATAAATGTGAAAAAAGAAGAAGGTAAATAAAAAGAAAGTGTTTAAGAGAAGGTTTGATCATTATGGATTGCCATGCATTGAACTGTCTTCCTAAAAATTAACATCAAGAGGATTAACTTGAATATTTATATAATAAATAAAGTATAAAAGGTTTCTAAAGGAAAAAAGTCTCACAATAAACAAAACAGGATTAAAAATATCTGCAAAAATATAGTACTAAATGACCACACCAAAATCGAATTGTAAAATATTCAATTTTTTTGTAATACCTAACAAAATTATAAATATAAATGAAAAAAAAAGAAAAAACGAGCAAGAAATTTTACAACAATCATCAATTGAAAAAAATTGCACTTAATTTTATTATCTCATACATGAGCCAGGAAATAATCTATCCTTCCATCTATTTTTGGTCGTATATCATGCTCTTTTTTTCAACATTCTTCTTCACAAACAGCATTACGAATATCCTACATTGTGTAGGGAAGTAGTGGAAATAAATAAAGAGGGGTATAATACAAAGAGAGAGCTTTCAAAAATTTGAATGCATGAAATATTTGTGTGTATAAATTATTTTCAAATCATTCTTTCACACCACATTGTGTATGTTCATACAATATGTTCAGTAAATATAATGAATATAATGTTCATTTTCTTTATTTTTACTACAAATCCATGACACAATTCCATGCAGAACCGTCGCAATCAGACTTCACCACCCAACCACGACGGCCACGTCATCCCAATGCCACGTCGGACTCTTCACCTGTTCCTCGATCGCACTCACGTCCCTCTCCCAGGAAGTTCACGATCCACGCGTGATTTCCTTTTTGTCCCGTTCACACCAGGATTCACGAATATGGCGCCACTGCTCCGGATTCGTTTGTCCCTTCCTGAGCTGGCAGTTTTGGCTTTCGTGGCCTCCCTCCGGTGTGAAAAGGTACATATCTGCAGCATCTACGAAGCACCGCCGAAGCGGCCACAAAGTCTCCTATTTTTACCACTATTTACCACAAACAGCTGGTTTCTTTTACCGGTGGGGTTAATCCGAGTTTGCGGGAAGAGGTGCTTGCCTTGGAAGGGGCGTCGGAGAATCTGGACCCCAGCGACCGTTCGATTGGGCCCGATATTGTAATCTGGATTCTCGTCATTTGTTTATAGTAAACGTATGTTAATATTCGCATTTTCTCTTATTTCATTGCTATGTTTGTATTTTCTTCATGGAATTCATGCAAATTTTGTGTGTGAGGTTATTTTATTTTTGGTTGTTTTTGTGTGTTAAGAAGCCATGTTGTGGTACTCTACAGTTCCATATCATGACCTTATACTACCTAGAGTTAATTAAGTGTTTTATCATCCAAGTTTTGTCTTGTTTCTTGAGGAGAGTTGTTTGTGTTTTGGATGTATTTCTAATTTCCTCTTTATGGTTTTCCAACTAATTTTCTAGTATTCTATTAGATCCCTCTTAGAAGAGATTTTAAATGGAAAAATAACTTGTTTCCATGGCAAAGTTTTCAAAGGCTTCTACTCCCAACGATTAGACATAAATTTATATAATCACAAGAGGTGATCCAATCCCAAATTTTACAAGTTTGATGACACTTCCTAATTTTGTGATAGTCTTTGGCTTTTTGGCTTTTAAGGAGAATGCAAGACACATTGAAAATCAATACTTGGACTAACACACCCTCATTATATGTTAACAACCATTCCTTTGTGCCATACAAGTGAAAGAAACATTGCCTCTTTGCAAGTGCAAGATTTAGACTAAAAATCATTCCACTTAAAACGAAAAGTCATAGTCTAATAGAACACTCCATTTGTTGGCCCTTAAATTGTTATTTACAATGTTTCTTTGAAGTAATTTCTCTCCAAGTTTGTCTAAGTATGTCATAAATTCTTCTTTTCTATTAACTGTGAGTAAGATTTAGAATCAAAGGTCAACTCACAAATCTCGGCCATAGAATAGATTGATGCATTTCTCCCCTTTTTCTTGTTG